TTTAGCCAAATTGACAATTACAATACACACACTCAGGCTCTGGGTTCTGAAAAACAGAAGTGGGAAGCAATCTTTCTCTCCCTCTTTCTTTATAATTTCGTGCATTCTGCAAAGAGAGAAGAAAATAAGTATGGAAAATGTCTCTAATTTTCTCTTGCAAAAAAGAACAATTGTCTCTTCAGTACTATTCTTATGCTCACCAAATGCAATTTGCTTTGAGAACAAATGTATAAAACTCAAGGTTTAAAGGGGGTGGATAGGCTACCCACATGCTGTATCTAATTATTCAACCAAGTATCCTCTTCTAAGTTAATTACCAACTAACAAGGGTATGCGTCCTTCTGTAAAATGCAAGAAAACGGCATTTTAGAAAGCAAGTGCTGATTTTTCTATCCATTCTCACTGTATTTTCACTGCTACAATTTTTGCTTCTAATTTTCAATTGGTGGTAACTGTTAAAAATTAAAATGTCCCTGTAAATTCATAAAGAATAAAATGAACTGCAAGCATGTGTTAAGTACTTAAATATAGCATGTTTTAGAGAAAATCAATTCATAAACTTTATCCAGTTAATTATATTGCTACTGGACTCAACAGCACATTACAACAATTCACCCTCTTCATGCATCTGAAAGTTGGACAATGAAAAAGAAGACTTGAAGAAGGACCACGGCCTTTGAAATGCAGTGTTGGAGAAGAGTGTTAACTATTTCAAGGACTGCTAAAAGAACAAACAAATCTGTCTCGGAGGAAGTCCAACCACAGTGAAGCATACAAGAATGATGAAACTTCAACGCACACACTCTGACACGTAGTCAGGAGAGATAAGCCCTCAGGGAAAAGGCACCATGCTGGGAAGGACGGAGGGCTGGGGAAAAGAAGGTGGATTGTCACGGTGACTGTAACACCGGGCCTGAGCACGATGACGATCTTCAGGACAGGCAAGGATTCAGATCTGTTGCTCATAGGGTTGCGACAAGGTGTCCGCTTGAAGGTACCGAACATCGTATGCATGTATAGTGACACAGATACATACAGAAATTGTTCTTGTTAAATGACGTCGAGCTGTAGATAACTCACCGCGACCCTATGAACGAAAGGCCTGAGCACTGTTCATAGAGTTCCCAGAGGCAAGCCATTTCGGAAGTGGACGCCACATACAGAAACAGGAAACAGCAATCAAGATGCATTCGTAGATCTCCTTTTTAAAAATCTTTTTTTTCCGTTTTTCATAATTTCTATACTTTATGTAATAATAACCCAGGAGGTCTACATCAACATCTCATTGCCTCTGAGACAATTTTAACTCACAGCGATCTTACGTGACAGAGAACAGCTGCCCTATTGGACCACCAGGACTGCATGTCTTTACAGAACCCAGTTGCCCTTCCTTCTTCTTGAAGAATGGCTGAGTTGAACAGCAAAGCTTGAGTCAGCAACCAAACGCTGACCTGCTGTGTTACCAGGGATCCCGTATCACAAAATGCAAACCAGAACCGCTGCCGTCAAGCCAATGCCAACTCCCGGCGAGCCACCACTGGGTCCCAGAGACTGTCTACCTTTACATACAACTGTAAATTGGTCAGCTCTAAAGCTAACACAAAACACACTGTGCCACCAGGGCTCCTTGTTATCAATACAGACAGATAAGGAGAGGAATAAATGGGAGTAAAGTGAAAATGCATTCTCAAAGAATTCCAAATAATAAATGTTCCAGAGTAGAAGGAATGATGGAATTATAAAAACCACGACTTAGTTACCCAAGTATCAGGAAGTATTTCAGACAAGAATTGACAATATATACTAAAAGCAGGGGATGAAAGTACAATGAGAAATAGAGTGTTTTCAAATCTCAATGAATCTCCCCCTTTCAGACTTAAAAAGGAATGAGGAACGATGGGAACTCTCCATTGGACAGACCTAGCAGGCCCTACTTCTACCAAGTCGGCAATATTTTCAGTCCTATGAAAACAAAACAATTTCATATTCCAGTTGGAAAGACTATAGCAATTCTCTGGGTTTCTTGCCATAAATCCATAGCTTAATATTAAACATAATGACTGTCCAAGCCCCCCAAAATCATATAGTGAAAGGACCCTGACAGGTACTCTCAAAAGCAGTTAAAGTCATGAAATGACAATGAATATTTCATCCTGCTAGAGCCACAATTTGCCAGGAAATCAAAAGACAAATTGTATGAGAAACCTCTTCAGAGTACTGAAGAACGGCAATGTCAGTCTGGAGACTAAGGTGTGTCTGATCCAAGCCATAGTCTTCACAGTTGCTTGTTATGCTTCAGAGAGCTGGACAATTGACTAGGGGTGATAGAGAATTGATGCCTTTGAGCTGTGGAGCTGGAGAAGCGTACCGAATATACAATGGACTATCAGGAGAACAAATGGGTTCATCCTAGAGAGGGTGAAACCAGGCTGCTTCTTGGAGGCAAGGATTCTAAGGCTTTGTTTGATATACCTTGGGCATGTTGCAAGAAGGGACCAGTCCTTGGAGAGTGACATCATGTTTGGAAAGGTGGAGGGACAGAGAAAGAAAAGAAGATCATCAATGAGATGGATTGATTCAGTGACTGGAGTAATAAAGTTAGGTGTATCAAAGACAGGAAGGTTGGCATAGGATAAAGCAGGTTTCAGGGATATTGTACAGAGAGTTGCTATGAGTTGCAAGCAACTCAATGGCACATAACAACAACAACAGATCCATAATCAACACCCGTAGCACCAGCAGTCAGGGTTATCAGGGGACGTATTGAATTGGGAGAAAAAAAAAAAAACGAAACACTGCTGTCAGGAACCTTTCCAAAATACAGAGGAGCAATGATGTCAGTTTGAAGACTAAGGTACATACCCCTGATCCAGGACATAGTCTTTTCAATCACTTGCTACACACCTGAAAGCTGGAGAATGAATAAGGATAACACAAGAAGAATAGATGCTGTTAAGACATGGTGCTAGAGAAGAATACTGAGCATCACTTGGATTGTCAAAAAAACAAAGATATGTCTTGGAAAAAATGCAGCGAGGGTGCTCCTTGGAGGCAAAAAAGATGAATTTTCACCTCTCATTCTTGGAGCATGTTGCTAGGAGAAGCTATTCCTTGGAAAGAGAGAGAGTCAGGGGAAGAGAGGCAGACCACCCAATGAGATGGGTCGACATAGTGCCCATAGCAATGGGCTCAAGTGTGTCAGAGATGATGGGGATGGGGCCGGATAGGACAGGGTTCAGGTCACTTGTTCACAGGAGCGCTGTGAGTCATATCCAACTTGACAGCACCTAATACAACAAAGATCAACAGGTCAACAGTTTGAATCCAGCAGCTGCTCTACAGGAGAAAGATGAGCAGTCTCATCCATAATGACATCCAGGCCCATAAAGCTGAGGGAGGGTCTCCATGAGTCACAACGACCAGCAGAAGAGCACAACAGAGACTCTGAAGAGGATGCAGGATGGGGTCGAGTTCAGTGCTCATCTACAGAGGATGGCTATGAGTTCGAGACAATTCAAAGACACCTCACAACAACAACAAGGAAGTATGACAACTAAATTCTATGCATGATCCAATATTATTTCCTAGACCACAAAAGAATTTGGGTTACAAAATTTGAATAAAATAAATAGATCAAAGCTTATCATTATACTTAGGTTAACTGACTGAACTTGGAAATTGTAATACGATTTTGGAGGGAATGTCAGGAAATGCTAAATTATCTGGAAGTAGAAAAGTTTAAATAATCATGTGTTCCACTTAAGTCATATGAGAAAACAAAATTACATAATGTAAATATGGAAAAATGATAAAGTATTGCAAAATGTAGGCATTGGGGGAATCGAGGTAAATCATGTACAGAAGCTCCTTTTTCTAAATTTAATTGAAATTTTTAAAAATAAAAACTATTATATGATTAGCTAATGGTAGCCACCCACTACTTTAAATCCTCCTGATGGCTGTCTAGCAGAGAAGTTGGTGAACTCTCTCTACAAAGGGCAAGATTAGATCATTGAGGCTTTATGGACCACATGGCCTCTTTAATAGTTATTAAGCTGTGGTGTTCGAGGAGCATGACAACAGCCGTAAACAATATATGAATGACTGAGTGTGGCTTTGTTCCAATAAAGCTTTATTTAAAAAAAATAGGTAGTGGCAAGTTTTGGCCGTTGGACTACAGTGTGCTGACCCGTGATCTAGGGCACTCCAAGGAAAATTAAACAGTCACTAGCTCATCAATACATTTCAGACACTATGCTAAGTGTTTCATTAGCATTAAACCATTTATCATCAGATTGGTTGGAGGAGTTAGATGCTAATATTACTTGTATTTCTAAAGTCAGGTAATTGGAGCTTAAAGAACTAAAGGCACTTACCCAAGGTCATATAGCAACCAATCAGTATTACGGGTTTGAAGACACATAGGTCTGATTCAATACATTTAATGAGAAACAACTTGGGGAATTTTATTAGGACAGGCCAGTCCTTGGAAAAAAGTCACCAAGCTTGGAAAGGTCAAGGGTCAGTGAAGGAGAGGAAGACCTTCATCAACATGGATTGACACAGTGACTGTATCAACAGGCCCAAACAGATCAGAGATGAGGAGGATAGCACAGCATAGGACAAGGTTCAGATCTGCTGTTCACAGTGTTGGTATAAGTAGTAGTCAACTCGATGGCACCTAACAACGATATGCTATACCTCTCATGCCGCAAGGAGGGACTAGTCCTTGGAGAGGGACAGTGCAGGAGAGGAAGACCATTGATGAGAGGGACTGGCTCAGTGACTGGGGAAATGGGGGTAGGTGTGTTAGAGACAGTAAGATTGGCACAGGATAGAGGAGGGTTTAGGGTTGTTGTGCATAGGGTCGCTATGAGTAGCAGGTGACTCGATGGCACATAACAACAACAACAACAATCATGTTAAGTTATACCGTCAATAGCCAAGTAACTATACAAACTCATGAAATACAGTCTGAGAGTTTTTATTTCCCCACAAACCTCTTGTAGCTGCAAGGACATAAGCCCCAGTTGGTCCTGACGTTTTTCCACCAACTCTCTTTCTATGCGCATCTCTCTTTCTATTTCCTGAAGCCGCCGCTCTACTCGATCTGAAACCTTAACATGAATGAACAGAAACAGTGGCGTTAGGCTATTAAACAAAACTAAACTCAGGACGTATTTTTCTCTACATACATTACTGTTTATGAAGTGTTTAACTTTTAGAGCCCTTTTTGATGACACTATTCTAGCACAGTTGACACGAAAAAAATATGGAAAGTTACAAAAGAAGGCAACAGTCTCCAGACAACCAAAATCTGGATTGCAGTAACACTCTCAGATTGTTCAGAGTAAGAAATTAGGTCAGAGATAAAGAAATTCAATGGAAAAGAGCGCCCTCTGGTGAAGTAAAGGGAAAACATCCATTTTGCCAACTACATTTAATACCGAATGAGAAAACTGTCCATCTATTTTTCTTTCTTTCTTTATTTTAATTAATTACCCTATTTAATTATCCATGAAAATCATCTTCCTGAAAAAGTTTTGATGTTTATATTCCGTGAATAAGTAAAAAGGATTTTCATTAGCTTGTCAATCTTTTCTACTTACAATCTGCTAAAAATAAACCAAGTGTAAAAGACAAAAAAAAATCAAATCAAACTAAAAAGCGTTTAACTGGAAAATAATTTTTTTATCTCTGATGCAAACTTCACCTACAAAAATTGTGCAAATAAAAACATATTTCATGTACGTCATTTACAATAAATCAATAAAGATTATCCTATTTGATGTGCGTGCTTGGGGAGTAAGAGCACACAGCACATAGATTATATTTGGTCTTCCTTTTTAAGACAAAATATATTTACGTTCTCTATAATTTATATTTAACATATAAAACTATAACTACAATAAGTATTTTCTCACCAATTCTATCTTTGCTATAGAATCAAGGCAGGTCCAAACTACAAAAGGTCACACTGCGGTGCTCGAAATGCTCCAAAACTGGATTATTATCACAATGATTACAAAACTCATAAAGCCATTAAAAAGAATTAAACCATTTGCATTGTATAGTAAAGTGAAAATCAAAAGTTGTGTTTGTTTAAAATGTACTGATTTTTAAATCTTTATGTAGTCAAAAAAGGCTGGACTATGATGTTGTTCTGTGCCTTGAGCTATGCACCCTGCTCTATCCTGAGCTAATCATTACATCTTTGACACACCTACTCTCATTACCCTAGTTATCTCATCCAGATTCTTCCTCTCCTACACTGTCCTTTGACTCTTCTTTTAACTCTTCCAAGCACAATATCCTTCTCTAAAACTGCAAACACACACACACACACACACACACACACACACCCCTACCTTCCACCCCCACCCCCCCTCCTGGCTACATGCCCAAAGTATATGAGATGGAGTCTCAAAATGCTTGCCTCCAAGGAGTAGCCTGGATTCACAGTCTCTAGGACAGACTTGTTAGTTCTCCTGGCAGTCCAAGGTATGTTCAATACTCTCCCCCAGCATCTCAACTCAAACATATCAATTCTGTCATCCTTGGTCCTTGGCCAGCTGATACATGGCAAATAATTGCAAAGATCATGGCCTGGAGCAAGTGCACCTTAGTCTCTAGACTGGCATCCTTGCTATCCAGCACTTTGGAGAGGTCCTTGACTGCACATTTTCCTAACCCAATTCAGCTGATTTCCTGACTGTGTGTACCAAAAGGGTTGACTGTGGAACCGAGCAAGTTGAAATAGTTAACAACCTCAATCTCTTCTCCAACCATCATGATGCTGTCAATTGACCCAGCGGTGAGAATTCTCATTTTCTTGATGTTGAACTCAACATATTGCAGCGCATATTGTAAATTATACTCCTTGACCTTCTTCAGTAAATGCTTCAGGCCCTCCTCAGTTTCAGCAAATAAGGTTGTAAATTGTAACAATTAAAGTTGTGTCATGTGCATAATGCAGGTAGTTGATGAGTCTTCCTCCAATCCTGATGTCACATTCCTCCTAATAAAGTCCAGCTTCTCAAAAAATCTGTTCTGCACACAGATTGAAAAGGAAAGGCTAGATAAAAATCACTGAATTATTTTCAATGTTGTAAAATATTCCATTGTGTGAATGTGTCATTGTTTTTCTATCCATTTATTTGTTGATGGGCCCTTCATTACTTCATCTTTTTGCTACTGTGAATAATGCAGCAAACAATATGGGTGTGCAGACTTCTGTTACAGTCACGGCTTTGGTTTCTTTAGGGTGTATTCCCAGCAGTAGAATTGCTGGGTCAAATGGTATTTCTATTTTCAACTTTTTCAGAAAGTACCAGACTGCCTTCCAAACAATAAACTCATAAAATATCACACAGTATGGGTTAGCCTGTGGTGATTAAGGAAAAAGTCAAGCTGTTCTTAAAGAATTGGCAAAAAATCAAGGCCCCAGGAATTGACAGTATACTAACTGATATATTTCCACAAACGGATGCTGCCCTTGAAGTGCTCACCAAGCTGTGCCAAGAAATCTGGGGCACAACCACCTGGTCAATTCACTGAAAGATATCTATATTTGTTTCCATTTAAAGAAAGGTGATCCAACAGTGCAGAAATTATTGAACAATATCATTAATATCACATGCAAGCAAGATTCTGCTGAAGATTATAAAAACTGACTGGAACAGACCATGAACAGAGAACTGCCCGAAGTGCAGGCTGGGTTTAGAAAAGGCCATGAAACTAGGGATATTGTAGCTAATGTTAGATGGATCTTGGCTGAAAGCAAGGAATACCAGAGGAATGTCTGTGTTTCATTGATTATGCAAAGGCGTTTGACTGTGTGGATCATAACAAACTGTGCCTAACTCTGAGAAGAATCGAAGTCCCGATACACTTGATTGTGTTTATGCAAAACCTAGACTTTGACCAGGAGGCAGTCATCAGAATGGAGCAAGGCAACACTGCATGATCCAAAATTGGGATGAGTGTACACCAGGGATGTGTCCTATCTCCATACCTTTTCAATCTTTACGCAGAACAGCTTATCCAGAAGGCTGAACTCTATGAGGAGAAATGTGGCATCAAGATTGGAGGAAGACTCATCAGCAATTTGCGTTATGCAGATGACACAACCCTGCTTGCAAAAATTGAGGAGGACTTGATGTGTTTGCTGCAGAAGGTCAAGGACTGCAGCCTTCAATAAGGATTGAATCTCAGTATCAAGAAACAAAAGATTCTCACCACTGGGTCAACTAGCAGCATAATGACAGATAGAGACTGATTATAAGCAGCTTTAGTTTGCATGGCTCCACAATCAACACTCTTGCCACCATCAGCCAGAAAATTAAAAGATGTATTGCATTGGGAAAGTCTGCTGTCAGAGACCTCTCCAAAGTACTGAAGAGCAATGATGTCAGTCTGGAGACTAAGGTGCACATGATAAAGGCCATGGTCTTTGCAGTCACTTGCTATGTATCAGAGAGCGGAACAATAACTAGGGATGAAAGAAGGAGAATTGATGCCTTTCACCTGAGGTGTTGAAAAAGAATGTTGAATATCCCATTGATGGCTAGGAGAACAAACAGGTTTGTCCTGGAGAGGATGAAACTAGGCTGCTCCTTGGAGGCAATAATTCTGAAGCTTCATCTGACATACTTTGGACACGCTGTATGAAGAGACCTTTCCTTGGAGAGGGACATCATGCTTGAGAGGGTGGAGGGACAGTGCAGGAGAGGAAGATCCTCAATGAGATGGATTGATTCAGTGACTGGTGTAATGAGAGCAGGTGTGTCTGAGACAGCGAAATTGGCACAGGATAGAGCAGGGTTTAGGGCTGTTGTACATAGGATCTCTATGAGTTGCAGGTGATTCGACGGCACATAACAACTGGAGAAAATTATACTGAGTGAGATATCTCAGTCACAAAATGACAAATACCACATAACACCACTGTTATCAAATAGGACTGACATGGGAAACTAGGGGGAGAAAAGAAAAAGAGTGGTTAAATAATGTACATTGCATGGAACAGGTTAGGGGAAGAATGTTTAATTAGGTATCACAGGCATGAAAACAATGTGGAATAAGATGTGCATTGCAAAGTGGACTAGGGGAAGAGGTGGGTAGGGGGAGGGAAGAAAATGTACAACAATGAACGAATAAAAACTACAAAACAAATACTGAATTAAATAAATAGCAATTCATAATCACAAAAGATGATCATGTTTGAACATCCAATTTCTTTTTGTTGATGTTGTTATTTTGAGATAACTTTGAGTCAACACCACACAAGAGGAGACTGCCCATCCTCCCTAAGTAAGCTGCAAGATTCCAACTGTGTTGTGTGCCTTCAGGATTGCAGCACTTCTTTGAAGTAGACCACTACAATTCCCTACTCATATCAATCTTATACATAAGAGACGAAAATGTGACCCAAACATATGCATCCTCACAATCTTCACTGTGAATACACCTACTGCTGTCATCAGTGTAAACTCCTTCTCAAGGGTTTTCCTCTCTCTCCCCAACCCTCCACCTTCCCAAGCAAGACATTCACTCTAAGGACTAGCCCCTTCTGACGACATTCCCACTTTGAGACAAAGTCTGAAAATTTCTGCTTCTAAGGAGCACTCTCTACTTGGCACTCCTTGCAACAATGATTGCTGGTTCTTCTGAGAAAGTACAAAGTATACTCAGTATTTTTTACCAGCATCACAATTCAAAAGCATCAACTTTTCTCTGGTCTTCCTTATTCACCGTCAAACGTTCATATGCATATGAAGGAATGGCACATACTATGACATGGGTCAGTGGCATAGTCCATAGGAGGTTGTATTGCTGACCCAAAGCACCTCTCTGGAGGTCCAAAGTCACCAGTGCCTCTGAGGGAGGGAGATAAAACATTCTCCTCTTACATGATGTATAGTCTGAAAACCAGGTGAAGGGTCAACGATGAGTAAGTTACAAAAAGATGGCGGGGAGTTTGAGTTAGCCTTTACATGACGTCCTTGCTTCTTGGCATTTTAACGAGGACAGCAGATCTGCCCGACCCAGCATATCCTTTTCTATCCTGAGTGCTGTTTCCACAGATGTTGATTATAGATCCCCATAAAATGAAATA